CTTATAAATCATTTGCACATGAAAAAATAATTTTATATTTTTTTATAAATTAAGATAATTAATTTTAAAGTAAAAATAAAATTAAAATATAATTTTAAAGATAAAATTTAGGCATATACAAATTTTTGACTCTACTACTAGATAAACATAATAAATAGAATAATATTTTTGAATAATTACTTGGTTATTGTTCATGCTACACTTGGTTAAAAATTAAGAGTAAATTATAGTAAAAATTCCTTATATGTAAGAGTTAAACAATATAAAAAATTAACGAAAAATGATTTCAAAAAAATAATATTTTTCTCATAATTAAATAATTTTTTTATATAATATAATGATGATAATTTTTTTATATTCATAAAAATAAAAAGTATAATTTACTTAAAATTTATTAAAAATTTTGAACTAGGATAATACTTTTAAATTAAACTATGATTAAATTGAGATCAACTTAATTATAATTAAAATAATATAATTTAATTAAAATATATAAAATATTTATATATGACTATAATAAGAGCAATATTTAAATAATTAAAACATTAATTAACAAGTAAAGAAAATATTGATGAATAAATTATATATAATATACAAAATAATAACAGAGCTACTTAAGTATAAAATTGATAAGTTATTTGTTATTTTATTTTTTTAAAATTAAGATAATATTTTACACTTAAGAAAATTATTTAAAAATTAAAATTAGTTTAAAAAATAAATAAAAAATACTTTTAAAAAAATTTTGGGTATTCGGGCCAGCCTGAATAAGCTTGAAACTCGAAGGTGTTAAGGCCGAACTTGGTTATATAGGCTTTTTAGAATGAGTATGATATTTTAAGTTTGATCTGAATAAGCTAGACCTAAATTGAGTTCAATCCACCTGAATTACCAGCTCTAAAAAAAACATATCTAATTAATTTTATGAATGGGCCATATTCTAAAATATTCAAAAACCCTATCCATATTTTATGGGAGTTGTATTTTTTAAGGCCATTGAACTAATTTTCTCAACTTAAAATTGCAAAGGAATTATAAAATAAAATTAATTTGAATTTAAATTAAATAAAAATTCATAACTTTTTGTGACATGGTATCTAAATGAGTTTGGTCTAAATTGAAATTTAAATTTAAATCTATATTAATCCAAACGCATCATTACACTAATTAGTTACTTTTCGGCCTTTACCAGCGTATGTGGTGATTAATTTGAGCTCGAAGCAACGGGGTAGCGTATATATATTTTATTTTGAATTAAAAGAAAATGAAAAAGTAGTGGAGGGGGGACTTACGTGTAAAGAGAAAATGATTGATGAAGAGGAAGAAGCATTGACCAACATTCAGGGGCACTCGAGATACTTGCAAGCGTCTTGCTCGTCGTTGATGGAGGGCATCAATGCTCTTCCGTACTCTAAAACCAAGGCCCCCATTTTGGAATGTATACGGAGACAACCATCTTTTCCAAATTTGTGTCGTAGAAGATAAAGTTTCATTCATAGTGCTCGATCAACATGCGTATCAAGCGTTGATTTCATATATTGACACCCAACGATTTTTTTTTCTTTTTCTTTTTCATAAAAAGCATGTTGATATATCAATCCATCAAATTGATATGAATGGTAAACAGTTAAAAGTTGGATTCTTAGATCCACAGCTTGTGTTAGCAGCACAGTGTACGTCATGTATAGAAAGCAAGGGTCAAAAAATAGTAGCGTTAGTGGTAATAGTAGCAATATGATGGGGCAGACAATCCCGATCCCTCTATCATGGGTGTATTATATAGAGAAGTGCGTCATTTTTCTCACACTTGCGTTAAAACAATAAAGCTCCTGCAATTCATCTTTCATGAGATCACGAACAATGACGTAAGCACTAAAACTAATGTAAGGGTAATAAATGATAAATACTTAGATTTAGTAAATTTTCTTGTTTAATTTCTTCTGCTTCTGAAACTGAACATGCTAGGTTGATCCGTTCATGAAACTGCATATTGGCACGAGTTATGTATTACTCCTTTGTAAGTCACTCGTGAACTCTGTCGCGCTCGCGCCTTGAGATCAACACAACGAAAACCGGTTTATTTTCTCCTCGGAATTTTACCTAAGCCGAAAAAAAAAAAAAACAGAGAGAGAGATACCAGCTTAAACATCACTCGAACTTTAGTGACTTTAATTTCTTTCTCTTCCTTTATCATCTTGTCTCCTTGCTTTCCATCCTTATCTCTGCTTTTAGTTTTATATCATTGATCTGATTACGGTCAGGCGTGGTGTTTATTATCAATCATCACTTTTTTTTTCCTGCGATGACATGACTGGCAAACTGAAGTTGGCTTTGTCTGTCTCTCACTTTACGTCTCACACAGCGTCGTCTTCTGAGCTTTCTGTTTAGCAACTACGCTTAGCTTCCTCGTTATATATATATATCAAGGAGAATGACAATTAAAGATTTTTAAAAAATATTAATTTTAATTACAGATTATAAAATTTTAAAATTTTAATTAAGGATCATGATTTTTAATTATAATAAAAAAATATAATTTGTGAGATGGAATTCACTAACACGACTTGAGAATTCACTAATCTAACTTGAAAAAATTACTAACATATATTGTAAAAACATGAAACTCTATTTGAAAATGAAATATTTAACAAAAAGCGTCACTTAAAAATTCACTAATTAGCCTTAAAAAAATTTCTAATATATATTGTGAAAAAATGAAACCCTACTTGAGAATCATTAATAAAAAGTGACTTGTCCAAATTGATATTTTTTATTAAATAATCGATTCTCAAGTAGAATTTTATGTTTTTACAATATACGTTAGAAATTTTTTCAAGTCGAGTTAGTGAATTTTCAAGTGGCGTTTTTTGTTAAACAATTAATTTTCAAGTGGGGTTTCATGTTTTCACAATTTACGTTACAAATTTTTTTAAGTTAAGTTAGTGAATTTTCAAGTGGCAATAATAAATTTCACCTTATAAACTATATTTTTTTATCACAATTAAGGACTATAATTTTTAATTGAGATTTTAAAATTTCACAATTTATAATTAAAATTAATATTTTTAAAAAATCTCTAATTATCATTCTCCCTGTATATTATTGCTCATGTGATGTTGTATTATGTGTAAAGCATTTCTTTTCATGTGATGTTGTATTATGTGTCAAGCATTCCTAAATCAAAGTCGATGGAGCTCCCACCTCGTTGTCATGACAATTCAATTATGCCGAAAATCATTTGCTCTCTCCACCGTACATTTTCAATCACAAAGAGAGGACACTAGCCGTGATTTTGGTTCCCTGCTTGTCACAGGCCCTCGTTGGCGGTTTTGTCAGGATATACATAGATATAGCATTACTTGGTTTTTCTTTTTATATTTCTTTTTTAAATTTCACTCACAATTACTGTTTATTTTGTTTTTCAACAATCGAATTTAACATTAGACCACGCGGCAACGACAATATATCCTGTTTAGTTTTTTAAAATGTTATGTTATACTCATATCCATGAATTTTAAGTTTTTTTTTTTTTTACATTGGTGACAAAAAAACATGTCATGGAGGTACGTTGGCATTTGTAATTTATTAATAACTAACTCTTTAATTTAAATATCTTCCTTAAGGGCGTTTCTTGGTAACCATTCGTTTAACTTCCTTCACTTGGCTTTGAATCATTTTAAGTGATTTTTTATACTTTCCTTTTTTTTTTATTGGTGCCATGCTAGCTTTTCATTTTATAAAATTTTCATAGATTTTTTTTTTTCATACGGCTACACAACATTCTATCTCAATATTTTTATCTTTGCCCCTACAATTTTTTTCTCTCATTACTTTTTCAATATTTATTATCATATAACATTGTTGGTTTTATAAAAGTTTGATAAAAATTTCCTTTAAATCTAGTAGGATAAAAAATTGAAATCCAGGACTGATATTATTATAATTATATAAAATAAAATTAAAGTGTGAGACATGAAGCCAAAACAATATCTGAAAGAAATTTCAGGGCTAAAAGTGAAAATTTGCTCAAAAAATGTTAACAGTAGCATGATGCAATTAATACGGAGCGTGAGATGAGGCCATCCGGCCCTTCTGTTAATAGGGCTCGCAATCGGTTGTTAAGGAATATAGGAAGAGGACAATTAAATATCCCATAAGATTAATCACAGTTAAGAACTTGAATTATTAAAATTTTAGCAATGAATTATGATCCTTACTTAAAATTAAAATATAATTTTCAAATAAAAATAATACTAAAATTATTATTATTAATTGAGATTATTGTTAATATTAGTTGGAAAAAAGTAAAGACAAAAACCATACTTGACTAAAATTTGTGAAATTTTTAAAAGGCACTCATGAATATTAGATAGTTACTTGTGAATTTATTAAAATTATTTTTAAATATAAAATCAATCATTTGTGAATTTTTATGTTTGTCAATATATAAGCGAACTATTTATAAAATCAAAAGAAGACATTACTGAAATTATTATAATAAGTTGGAACCGGATTATTGTTAATATCAGTTTAAAAAATTAGGATTCTAAGTGTTATAGATTAGGAATATTAAATTTACTATTATGGATTGTGATTATTGTTAATTTGATTTCTAAATGTGAATCTTAATTTTTTTCAACCGAAATTAATAATAATTCCAATTAATCATAATAATAATTTTAATAATATCTTTTTTAATTTTAGATTCATATTTTTTTAATTTTAAATAAGGATCATGATTAATTGTTGCAATTTCAATAACTCAAAATCTCTGATTATAATTAATGATGTTATAAAATCCTTAATTCTCATTCTCCCAAGAAAATTGCAGCAGCTGTCAGTTTTAACGGGGCTCTTATAGGCCCAGTCGAAGGGCCTGGAATTTGATATATGGGCTGGACTAGCTCGCCGTGTATGGTCGTTTTCTTTTCTTTTTGTTTGTCGGCCGAACCCCAAGAATAGCCGATTAAACGGATCCTATAAATTGAATACCGTCTCCGAAAATACACAACTGAAAGAAGTGAATAGTTATGAAGGAAACATCTATGGCGGGAACGGGAAGTGATTCACAAAAACATCTCTTGAGCCTAATCCGCAATTTCGCCGCTGAGAAATCTCACGGAGGTATTCTGCGTCTTTCTGCTTTCCTTCAGTTGTTTATTTACGGAGAAAATCCTGAAGCATAGTCACTATTATCTTTCTGTTTTTCCGTCTCATTCTCTGTGCTCGCAATATTTCCATTTTCGAAAGAACAAATGAAACTCGTATACTGTCAGGTTACGTAATTAAACAAAACACCACATGATCTACTCCAGTTATTAATGTTGTAGAATCAGGCTTTTGAGACTCGTATGAAATTTGGTTTCTCGCCGCTTTACATATTCTAAATAATCAAACAGATGCTTAAATATGAATCATCTTCATGTTCACGTACACTGAAATGCGCAGAGAGAAGAGTAACTACGCTGAAAAAGCGAATTGAAGAACTCAAATCTGAACTTAGCGCAACCAATGCGGAGCTTGAAGTTGCCAAACGCGGCAAAGAACTCGTTGAACAGGAGCTTAAAGGCTATGAAGTTCAACTGTTCTTGAGTGAAGCGTCGGTTCAAACTCTAGAGGTTAGTCACTTTCCATTTTAGGTCGATTATTATGAAATTTCTTCGCGACATAAGTGTAGTCTTCCGTTGGAAAATGTTCTGAACTATTAAGCGTGATGATAGTCACGGGTGTCTCTTATTCAAGATGAGATTTCAACTGTTGGATCTCATTTGGAAATTATTAAGGTATTAACGATCCTTGGTGATTTTCTATTGTTCGCTTAATTAAATCTGGATTTTGTGTTGATATTCTTATGCTGTTTATGATTTTACATTGAACCTACATTTTCTGGAACTCGTGTCTGGTATGGATTGCCAAAGAATGAAGAGGCAGCATTACGGTAGCAAATTTTCCATTTCCAGCGTATTTGTCATTGCTTTTGGGAATAATCTTTTCTACCAACAGATTTCCAATCCTTGCATGCTATCTGAATTTGTCTTACCACTTTGCAGTGAGGAATTCATAGGTCGTATGCTTGAGTTGAATGCTAGAATAAGGTTGATCTCCTTTCTAAACATGTCATAATATTATTCATTATTCACTTGTATTTCTGTAATCTGTTTTGCGCTTTCTCATAAATTTAGGTAAGCATATGAGTAGAATTTGGACTGATCAGTTTTTAATAGGCGAATACTTTTGAGTGCACATCTGCTGCTAACATTGAAGTTTTCCTATTTCAGGTCTCCCTGCATATTTGCAGCGACCAATCTCGGTTCTTTTTGTTAGAACTGTGCTCTACCAATTGACCTTTGTTGTTTATTCTTGGTGAAGTTTGAAGATATCTTCTATGCATATACTGTTTTTATTTGCTTGTCGACTGATATTTGGAAAGCTTCTTTAGTATTAAGGGCTACCTTAGATTTAGTTTCTCTATCAGTAAAATTGAGTTGATATTTTAAATGCCATAATTAGCTCATCTGGTGAATCAGACGTATCACGTACCTGCCTTTGAACTGGTGCTAGTAGTCTAATACTTTGCAAGCTACAATTTCTTCCTTCCTTCTTAAATTTTTTATTGCATGTTTGAAATCTTTTACTGCAAGTCAACCTCAGCCGCCTAAAACCTGTACAAACAACTTATCAACTCACTGATAATATAATATATTCTTCTATTTGACATAGAATTTGGCAAATGTCTCTTTAGACATTTTTTGTCAATGTCTCTTCAAGTTACCATAATGGAAGTTCTGCAAATTTACGAAGTGGTTACTAATCCTTTAATAAATGCAGGAAATTCCAAGAGAGCATTACTGGCAACATTGACGCAGTAGATTCTGCAACTCCCACAGGTTCTGTAACTCTTTCAATGTTTTCGGCGTTGACTCTTAACTATTGTTAATATATATATATATATATTATTTCAGTCATCTTCATGATATTTTTAAGAATCATGGTATACAGAAATCTTTAGTTTGTTTTGACAAAAGAAGGAGAAGAAGAAATCTTTAGCTTGCGTTTACTGGAAATAGAATCAGTAGCATTGAAGAACAGGAGAAAGTGAGAAGCAGGAAACTAGAGATAGAATGCTATCGATCCAGGGAGTTGAGAGGAGAAACATAGGGAACAAGGAAAAAGTAAAATAGAGAACGCGATCTTTTACTTTGTTGTTTGCCTTTCCTCCTCGGCAACGTTAGTCTGACATACTGATTTTGCTAGGAGCTTGGGCGGCTTTTAAAAAATGTTTCCTTTTCTGATTCCTAACTTCCAGCTACTAGCATTTGAAAATGGAATAGTTTACTCAAATGAGATTTCATGCTTTGCTTTCAAATATTCGTCCTCTTTGTATTCAAGGATGCAGATATTGATATGGTAAAAGATCAAAGAAGGGTTTAATCTCAACATTAACGTCATGTGATTTATTCATAACACTGTTATCAAGACCTGCTATTAATTGCATGAAGAGGAACTCCAACTTTACTGTTAGTGCTTGATACTATCGTCCCCCATTTCTTTTCCTCTTTTTTTTTTTAATTTTATATTTCTTAATTTTATGCGCTATCATTTGCAATTCAAAAGTGTCGTCAGGAAATTTGATAGATTTGGACTTTGTTTTAGATACGCCACGAGGAATCATAAAAGGCGACGATACCAAAGGTGCTTTAAGCGCTCTTGAAAATATGCTTACAGAGATTACATCTCAAACAGCTAAAGAGGAAGAGGAATACAAATCAGAACAGAACATTCACAAAAACGTGAGTGGAGAATCAAGTGTTGGAGCGTTCAGGTTTCTTTTGTGCCATACATTTATTTCCTTGCTTTTATTTATTTATTGCTCCTCAACGTGATTATTTGGTACTACCTGCAGGTGCTACAGGAGTTGAATAATTCTGAAAGAAAGTTGTCTTTATTGGACAACATTATCGAAGAAACAAAAGCATTGCATGATCTGACCATATATCCTTATTAATTATAATAGCCACTTACGGATCACCAATTAAATGTTTTGAATCATTAAATATCAATCAACTGAAGTGAAAATAAGGCCCATCCAATCTGGAAGTAGTCAATGTTATTAGTTCTATGGATAGGCATCTCATATCCGTAAGAGCGCTCGTCTGCTAACAAATATGATGTTGAATTAATTCGTGTGGTTAATATTCATATGAAATCTAATGAATCGGATATGGTTTTACTTTAGAAGTTGAATGTCTAGAAACTTGAGGGATGGAAAACTTGATTGACATAAGATGGATAGCCAGAATCCAGTAGTTCAATATTTTAACACCCTGTATCTCTTTAATTAATGTTGGCTCACGTAATTATGCTGCTCTATCTTTCGTTTTTAAGCTCTTTCAAGCATGAATTAAATTAGTTCTTTAGATTTCGGTATTATCATTGAAAATATAGAAAATTGGCATGCACCATCGAATCTGTTAAATTTTGCCCTTAACTGAAAACAAGCAGACTTCTAAATTAGAAGCAGCTTACAGTTCTCTTGGCGAGGAATTTCAAAGGCGATGCATGTGTCCCAACTGCCATGCGGACATTTCGGAGACTGTCAGTGAACTTCTTCAGCCAAATAAATGAGAGCTGATCTTCAGTAAGTAATCTACTTAATCAAATATTTAGAACTGTTTACTATCAAAATGCAATTAAGCTAAACTTTATTCAATTGTATGGTGTAATTGCATAACATGGGTTGGAAAAAGGGCGCTAATTGGCTCAATATTTTTTTTAATCAATATTTTGTTTTAGCCATTGACCAACGGGCCCTTAAAATCCCCCAAATATTACATATTGTACTTCTCTTGCCTTGGTAAGATCTGTCCACATTAGAGGAGTACGATGCATTTTTGTTTCAAGCAGCGACGCTCTATGTTTAGTTTACCAACTAGTCTTAACCTATCTGCTATCCCCAAAAAATTTGGGTTGCTAGAAATCTAGTAAGGAAACCCGAGGCGCTTTTGTGGTAAATGGAGTCTGGGACTCTAGGTGACATTCTGGTTAATCAATATAATCTACACTTTTGCTTGAATTAGCTGCCTCCTATGTCCTTTGTTAACAATGACAGTAACGTAGATTTTCTCTCTTCATTTCGTTTGCTCATCCCCTGTCATAATTGAAATCATGATCTCAGAACTAGGTCTACTGTAATGAAGTCATAATTTGTTGAGGTAAAATAATTTCGTTATAATTTTTTTTTGTATTAAAACTGTAAGCGTCTAACTAGCGGAGAGAACTGACATGGTCGGTGGCCAATATAGATTTGGACATATTGTGCAATGCAACAAGTCCTGTGTTAGATGACTTTATTTCAATTTGGGTCGAGAACAGCGCAGAAACAGGGCGATGGTCCGAGAACTTGCTTTCACTGCGAAAATATTGTAGTTGCTTCACTCCTTTCCCGTACCATAGAATTCGGTCACACCTGCCACCATAATGAATGCACTTTTAACTCTGTTTTCCTCGTGATATCCACAAAATTCATAGACTGTATAATAAAGACAGAACTATAAGCGTTTACTATACCACGCTGGAGTTCTTTGCTTCTTGCCAGATCCGCTTGGATGGGAACCAGAGTATTTAATGCAATTTGACGCTGGATATTTATAGGTGGGGGCAAATTCAATGTTACCCTCTTTCCAACCCTCAAACGCACCTCCTTCTCTTTCTTTCCGAAGCTGGTCAAACTGCTGCAACGCCTTCCAGTCTTGCCTTACTATCAGCCGCCTTGCAAAAGTACCCTCCAACGATAGCCTATAATTGAGATCGCCGAACCAGAATATCTGGCTGTTCCACATTCAATTCTCAGTTAACATAATTTGATTGCACCATTTGCATGACAGATTATTATTTATATAAAATTAAAATTAGATTCTTACTCCAGGAGCTACTTCTAATAAAAATAGGAAAATATGAGAGCAAAAAGTCTGTAGAGGATGTGATATACTAGAAGATAATTATCAAGATATTAGTTAATGAAGTTACTTAGCTGTCTTTTAGTGTCGGTCACAGCAAATGTTAAATGCAGCTACTACCGTGTCCACACGTGTTTCATTGAAAGTTTGTGATCAAATAAATATCTCTGATTTTAGCAACTACAAACCATGGGGTCTGTTACTTAGATTATCTGAGTTAGAACTGAATCCCAACCCTTCTACATGCAAAATGTTTTTGTATATTTTATTGGTAGTTCTAAAGTTGCTATTGTAGTCGTGGCGTCAAACGACATTTCTTTCTGTCGTTTGTCTTATTTGCTAGATTGATTAGTAAGATATTTGCTGTTGGATTTCATTTTGCTGGACAAGTGAATAAAACTAGATATGATTCTTCGTTTGAGATATGCATGAATGGTGTGGTTTGTTGTATATTTTATGTTTTATATGGATTCAGGCTGCCGCTCCAAATTTACTTACATTTTAGAGTGTTTTGCTTGTGACTCTCGACTTGAAAAAGTTGAGTCAGTGTTTATTCTAACCATGGGCAATTAGACACAAAGGAAGATCAAAATGATAATGATAGAAGGATAGTGACAACTTACTCGTGGCCTAAGATGGTAAGAGGATGAGGATAATGATCTTTAGCGGTTCTGGGGAAACAAGTTCGCTTAAAAATCTCGGAAACCTGGTGATTTCTTTGATCTTTATCACCCTTCTTCTCCCCAGATGCCAAGTGGGCGGCTACAAAACAAAAACTTGTTCCTTCAATTAACATGCTAACGGCGACCGAACCTTTGTTTCCCAGACATCCCATTATGCCACAGGCCACCGAGCAAACTTTCACATTCGAGACATGGTACTTTCTCAGCAATTCCTGCCTTATCCACACACTGATGAATATTCCGACCATCTTCTTGCTCGCTAACAGCGTATACTCCTCTCCTTCCTCCATCTTCCATCCTTCTGTCATTGAATTTTGCTTTGTTGTCAACCATGGGCAAGCCGACCTGCTGTTTAGAATTCTTCCGATGAGCTGGTTCCATCTTGTTGCCACCTGTGGGTCTTCCACTCCTATCACAGTCCTGGTCTTCAACGGTACAATCTCTTGAAACCTGAACTCGCGAAGCCATTTTACTCTTTAGGAAGTTTCTTCTGGTTATAGAATATACGAAGGATTTTATTTTCCTCAAAACTACATCGACTCTACTTAATCATTTAAGCATACCCAAGAACATATATGTCCGCAGCATTCTTGAGATTCAGCCACTCTTCCAAATCAACCTCTAAGCTTCCTACCGGAGTTCGACCAGCAACATTCCAAGTACCGACTGAGATCCTGAAAGAGGACATGACTTGGGTTACCATGCAATTGCATGTATAGGCTCAAAACCAATCGTTATAGTGCTTTGAAGAATTTAAAACTCACTTAAGTTCATTGGTTGCTATGCATGGGTCAAATTCCATCGACGGAAATGAAAGATCGCCCCCGGAGTAATCACCTTCATCTTCAGCTCTATCTGCAATACACGTCCACCGATAATTAAAACATCTATCTATATAGCAGAAGAGCATATCTAAAATTCTGATTCGTCTCTTCTAAGTAAACGAATATAATGGGAGACCTTCTATTCCATTCAAACTGTACGATGGCTTGTCTAATTCCTTGTGCTTCATGGGAAAGAACTTGTGGAAACTTGGATAACTCAGCTTCTGGTTCTCAACGTCCATGGCTGATCAGAGAGTGAGCTCAGATGGCAGACGAAGAAGCGGATAAGCTTTTCTTTTACATCAAGATGAAAACTGCTTGCTTATCCATACAGCGTGCGTTGCTAGTTTAACCAGATTCAACAGATGAGTCGTACAGTGGAGGTCTATTGTGTTAGTCACCCATAAGAGAATGAAAACACATGGGCGTAGCCTCTTATAGAACAGTCAATCTGCGTTACGCGCGATTTAGAACAAAGAGGCATTGATTTAATATAAAGACAAACAGGCAAGTAGGAAGAAACATCTTTGCTCCAAGGCTTGAGGTGGAGGGCGCGTTAATTAAATGAATGGATCCAAAGGCAGCCATAAAAAACAGATATAGGCCTCACAAGGTGCTATCATTTGTTTGATTATTTAGAGAGCTGTTAGTTGGTGCTGGTCACGTATGTCTCATGGATACCTACGTGACATAGTCGTTGTTTTTATTATTTCATGTTGAGTCAAATAATTTTTTCTACGGCAAGGTACTCCTTTTGGAACCTCTGCACATTCAATCAAAATATGATTGTATAATTAAATACATATTTTTATGCTTTTATTATTTTGGAAGATCATACGGCTAGCTGTCCGGATAGCTACGTATATGTTATGTTTCAATAGGGGACCTTGGATGCATGTGTGTGTAGGCAATAATGCTCTTGGAGAGGAGATGAATAGATTTTTGTGTGAGGAAGCGGAATTTAATTCAGTTTCTACACCTGTCTCCTTTTTATTTGTCCACGTATGTATCGGAACACAGCCTTCTTCAATTATTCCCCTTCCAACGCTGAACACCCATCTTCTGTTGTCACGTGTCGCGATCATCATGCGAAATTGCACTCGCTCTCTTGATGCATTCGCCATCAGATCTTCCAAGATATCTCTTCCTCGCCATTTCTCATCTCCCAAGCCTTGCCACCTTACTCTATCAATTGTATCAACTTAGCTTCCTTCATTTATTTTTGGGAGAATGACAGTGAGGAATGGTAGTGAACGTTGAAAACAAACGAAAATTTATTTTTGCACAATTACAAGTTCATCGATTCACTTGTGTGTAGATAAACTTTCACTTCTTTTGAGCCTTTTTTTTTTTCCTGAGGCTGTTACTGCGATTTTTCCCTTTATTTTTTTTTTTTTCACTTCTCTTCATAAACGTTATTTAGGGCTTATTTGTTTTTTTTTTTAAAATTGTTTTCTGTGGTTAAAAATGACAAGATTAAAAAATTATTTTGAATTAGTGTTTTAGATTTAGGGAAAATCACTTTAAGGTCCCATGGAAGCACTTAAAATATAGTGAGGTCTCATGAATTCAAGAAATAGTTAGATTTCTAGGAACCTAAGGGTGGATAAGTTTGAAAATAAAATTATCCTTTTGCCTTGTATTTGAAATACTTTAAATTCACTTTGTTTCTCACTAACCCATGAAAGCTGAAACCTATTTTGAAGGAGAAGATTATAACGTCTCGTGTTGAAGAGTCCAAGACTTGAAGGAGTAAACAAAGAAAGTAGCACGCTCCTACTTCACTGACTCATATCTGTCTTAACAGCCATCATCGGACTGTCTTTGCCATTCTCTCACTCCATCTCACCTGCACCTTCCTCCAGGCATTGGATTTTCCTTTTTCTTCTCTTGTCATTTGTTTTAAATCTGGATTTTCCTTTTTCTATCTCGGAAAATGAAGTGATGGTTGTAATTTTGATTTCATTGAATAATGGTTACTATTTCAGGAACTCTGTACGAATCTATGTTACTTTGCAATTCACTATGTCATTTCAAATTTCGTTGATGTTTGGTATATCCACAAAGATATCTGTTAGTTTGTCCTTATATATTCAATTGTTCAAATTAAATGCAAAATGTAAAGAAGTTGCGTATGGTCTCCTTTTCAATTTATGATTGTGCTAAACTGTTTTATTGATTTGTAGTTTATAGGCACATGTGCATGTACATTTGTTTTAGTGTTATGGTGAACATGTCTCTTTATGGTCATTTTATGACGTAATTGAGTCATCTTTTGGTGGTTGGCTCTGAATTCTTATAAGATAAACTTTTAATTTATTAGTTGCAAAATTGATAGCTATCTGTGCAGAAAAATTCCAGCACGTAAATTTTAATGAGAAAATCACTCTTTTATGAGAATTAGTTAAAAGAAATGAAAGGAAATTGTGGAAATTTATAGATTGTCAAATAATTTATCAATCTTGGCTTTTCTATCTATAGTTTTGAAAATCCCAATCGACATTTTGTGAAACTTTGTTGCTAATCTTAGAACGTTAGTTCTATGATGCAAAATGTTTAGCTTTTCGGTTTGCAAAATTGCATAATGCATGCTAGTCTCTCAGCTTTTATATTTATTTCTGGAGGAGAATGAACTTTACTTGATTACGAAGAAGCATTTGGGAAATCTGAATGCATGGCTTTGCTGAACTTTGAGAGAAGGAAATAGTAGTTTGCTTGCTTTGGCAGCATCTCGATCTAGGATAGCAATTGTTAGATGATTCCTTAACTTTTGAGGCAAAGACATTGTCTAAATATGGAAAAAGGTTATGTGAACTGTTTTTAAAATTATTTCTGAAGTTTTCATTTTTGCTTCAGTTTTCATCTTTAGAGATTTATAAATAATCAAGTATATTTCTTGATTGTTACAAAAGTGTAGCTGTATATGAGATTTTTGTAATTACTTAAAGATATTTATTTGCATGTTTCAACAGTTTTTAAAAAATCTATAATTTTAAATATCTATGAATTTTTTCATTGACGACAACTGCTTTCTCTATTGATAACAACCATATATTCTATTGACAAAAAATCATTTATTCCATGAATGACAACTAATTATTCCAATGACTACAACCATAAACTCTATTGACAACAGCAGTATGCTCCATTGACTAGTAAACCATCATGATTAGTGAACCATTTTTTGCCGTGACTTGTGTTTTCTTCTTCCTTATGGATATTAATAAATAATGCTAGTGCAAAAATCTCCGTGTTGGAATTTAGTATTAATGACTACTATGCAATTTTCATTATATCTAATTGAACTTTTTTATTTTTTTTCTAGGAAAAGGAAGATGGAAGAGAAAGCAAAGACAAAACTGAAGAAATATATTGTTCCATTCCATGCGCACTGCTCTCCTAGTCAATTTAGTGAAGTAGCAAAGTATGTGAAGGGAAATGAGAAATTATGGAAAATGGTAGAGAAGTTAGGATTCGATAGACTACTTGATGTGTCTTGTAAAAAAATCTAGAGAGATATTTGTGGAGAGTTTATGTGTGCCTTCCACCCAACAACTCATGAAATATGCATAAGGGGAAAAATCAAGCAAGTGAAGAGAAAATAAAAGATTTTTTTTTATAGAACTTTAAGATATAATTTTATTGATAATCATGTCTTTTTGTATAGTTAGCCCATTTTGTGTAGTTAACTTAGATCATGCTGTTATGAATGTTGATTACAAGTTTGTAAATATGGCAAACAGTTTATTTTATTAATTGAATGTTTACAATAGTTATCACTTTATTGACAAGTGGTTATAATTACAGTAACAAGCTATTAGTTTGCTATTAACAAGTGTTAGAGCAATAGGTGCTGTTATTCTCTTTAAAAATCAACTAGTTAAAATAATCTATTAACTACTTGCCATTGGCAATTGACAAGTGATTATAACTATGTTGACAAGTTATTAATTTTTAATTGACAAGTGTTGAGGCACTGGGTGCTGTTATTCCCTTTAAAAATCAACAAGGTGTAAGAACTTGTTGACTACTTACCATTGGCAATTAACAAGTGGTTATATTATAACTATATTAACAAGCTATTAATTTACCATTGACAAGTGCTAGGATAATAAGTGTTGTTATTCCATTCAAAAATAACCAATTAAAAGAACTTATTGACTATCTACCACTAAAAATTGACAAATGTTTATAACTATATTGACAATCTATTAATTTACCGTTAACAAGTGCTGAGACATTAGGTATTGTTATTTCCTTTAAAAATTAACAAAGTGCAAGAACCTCTTGACTATTTGCCATTGGTCATTGACTACAAGATATCACTTCATTTACAAGTTTTGCATTTGCTATTGACAAGTGTTAATATATTAGGTGTAATAAACAAAAAAGTAAACAAAAAAATTTTAGATACAAAAATGAAAAAATACACTTGTCTCAAATATTTTTTAGCATGAATTAGGATTCTTACAAGTCTTGAAGGTATCACTAGTTTCATGGCATCTACCACAATGATAAACACTTTTGTTTTAGAATTGAGATTCTCTTCTTTTGCTCTTTGGCTTACTTCCTTGGTCATCATTTTGAAAATGCCCCCTATATAAAAAAAATATAATATGTGTTCTTCAAAAGAACTTGCAATCTTACAGGTCAACCTATACCACACACAGTGTATTGACAACTACACACAATGTATTGACAATACATTTATCCACTATTGACAAGATGTAATGTTGTTTCATAGTAGAGATTTTTCAACAAAACAAGCTTGTATCAGATGCCTAGGAATAATATATAAAATATCTTATATAAAAAAACATAATACATGTTTGCTAGTAGTACTTGCATTCTTACATGTCAGCCTGCATAGTATAGTGTATTGACAACTATTCATAGCATATTGATAACACGAGAAAATACTATTGACAACATGTAGAGTTATTCATATTAGATATTTGTCAACGTATCAGTGTTGCCCCAGATTATTTTATATATTAGCTATGCAAACTGAATGATCACAGGTATACCTAGAAGCATTATCCTACCCTTAAACAATAATGACATCATTAACGCATAAGAAATCATTTATCTGGCCAAGAATGGATATGCTGCTATCAATCGATAATTTACGCAATCATTTACGGCCAACAATCGTTTACCCAAAAAATTATTTTTTGTCGATGAAATGCTGTTGCTGTGAATGAAACACTCTCATCTCACTTAGATGAAGATAAGGGCAGTAATCAAGGATATGAGGAAGCGAAAATCACCCTACTGTGATCAACAATCATGGATATATAGCAATCTTCAGTATTGCTGATCATGGGTTTCGTGAGACGTGCGCACGTAAGTAAAATCTCGTTTTTAATGCTGGAGGGCGAATGGGTAATTTCATTTTCAGACTTATTTACCCTTAAGTCTTTAGGGACTTGGCAGCTATTTTTTGAATTCATGGGACCTTAGAGTGATTTTCCTTAGATTTAATTATTGGGACAATATCAACTAAAGGCCCTTGAAGGAAGCTTACATCCCTTAAAGACCAATAAATTTGAAAATTTCACTACAATTTATTAGTCCTTTGTTGATATTAATTTTGTTTCAAAAAGATTGAATTGAACCCAAATTTAAATTTAAAATGGATGGTTACTATTCTTGAATAGGTTATTATTAAAAGACGAATGTATTGTTATTAATATAAAACCAACACTTGTAAATTTAAGCCCATTTCATCATTTTTTGAAATCGTAAAATTCAAAATGAATTGTTATTCTTGAATGAGTTCTTGTCAAAAGATGAATGGATTGTCGTAATGTAAAAGTAAAATTTATAAATCTCAGTCCCACTCCACCATTTTTCAAAATCATAAAATTTAGGATGGGTGGTTGTTATTCTCAAATGGGTTCTTGTTAAAAAGTGAATGAATTGTTGTTACTGTGAAATCAACACTAGTAAATCTAAACCAATTTTATGATTTTTTGAAATTGTAAAATTTAGAATGGATTGTTATTCTCAAATGAATTCTTGTTAAAAGGTGAATGAATTGTTAATGTGAAACCAATACTTGTGAATTTAAGTCCGTTCCAAACTTGTTAAAATGAAAATGAATTGTAGTTTATATCAAATATGTTGTTGTCAAATTTCTAATAACAATTTAGGGGTAGTTCAGTAGTCTTTTTGGCAACAAAATTAATATGAAGGACTAATGAATTGCAATGAAATTTACAAATCTATTGGTCCTTAAATGATATAAACTTTCTCCAAGGGTCCTTAGTTGATATTTTCCTAATAATTGTTTTCAAAACTGTTCTTATTTTTTTAATTAAAAAATAAAAATATTTTTATTTAATTTTCTTATTTTTATAACAATCTCATTTGATTATTGAAAAATATAATTAATTTGATCAATTTCTATTATAAATTGTTACTACTATTAACTGCTTACAATTATTACTATCTTTTTATTTTTTTATTTTTAAAACTGTTTTTTAATTAACATAACTAAACCAATTTTAATTTTTTTATTTTAAATGCAATTTTAAAAATTCATTATAAAATAAATTTTTTAAAAAAATGAAAACAAAAATCTAATAGGTCCTTAGTTTTTGTTTTCTTGTACTTTTTTTTAAATCTTGGTTTTTAGATAATTTTCGATTTTCAATTATAATGTTCCTAATAAAGCTCTCCAATTCGTTGTCGGATCAGGATTTCGGTAGGTCGTCAATGGAGTTTGCGAGACATCCAACAGCCCTCTTTGTACAGTAGATTCTTGGGTTTAGGGTAATTTATTTATAATTTTATATATTGTTATCAATTTTTTAATTGAAATATGCTTAATATATAATATTTTTACTTATGAAATATATGCTTGTACAAACTACAAATAATTAAAGTTTTTTTACAATTATTAAAAAAATTTATGAAAATTATCTTTATGATATTTTTATTGAAAATGTTACGATAAAGTAAAAAAGCTACATGTAAGATTTTTCCTCTCTCAGACATCCCTTAGCAAAGGAAAAGAATTCTTTAGCTAGTGTGCATTTGAAATATCTTAACAAATAGCTGGTACTCATGTTAATCTCATAATTTCACGATTAGTCAAATTAAACATACATGTTTCTCAATAATCTTCGGCAAAAAATCAGACACAAGAACAAACATTCACTGAGCCAGCGTCTCGTATAAGCTGAGTCGACCTCTGGACAATACAACCCAATTTCAAAACCTCAAATTGAAAATGTTAAAATTTCACATGACATCGCTCTAAGAAATCTTGAATAACCAAATTCATCTAAACTCTCTGTAAATAGACGTTTTACCCTTTTATGTGACTGTATGCAGGATACATATATTACAGTCACACTCATCTATTTTTCCCCTATCTCTTCTCAAAAGAAGCATATATGGATGAATTGATCCGTGGAGACAGATCGTCCAGACTTATTAATTTTTTTTTTTTTTTGGGTGTTAATATGAGGCGTGTCAAGTTTTTGATTCCCATGTTGTGCGCTGAACTCGGCGTGGCCATTCGATAACCATGGGACCCTGTCTTAATGACTCATGTCTCATTGCGTCCTTGTCCATCAGAATTGATCATGTCTATCAAGGCTTCCCACACAAGAGCGTGTGTTCATTGATCTCTTGAAATTCCCTTTTTCTAAATTTTGATAATATACTGTGTACTTGGGGTACAATATAATACTCGTAACCATACCTGCTCGACTTTGGGCACATTAATTATATACTCATTACCTGTACCCCCTATTTTCTCGACTCTGGGTACAATATATACTTAATACTTGAAGTTGAACCCATATTTATTTGCGCCAAAGAAAACAAGGGCGTTGCTTTAATGCATTTAATATTAGGGCACTTGAATGCAGCGATTGACTCATGCCGTGTGGTGGCCAGCCAGCGTTGAAAGTCAGAATACTTGCCCCAGCACACCCATACTCAATTCTCATTACTTACTGTTCTCGATCAATTAAGGGGAAATAAAGTCATCAATTCATTACAGCTAACAAACCAGAATATAAATTAATATAAACTCACGCTTTCAGATATAGATGCATAATCAGCAAACCTAACGAGGCTATGCCAAAAATAAAATAAAATAAAATTAAAGTGTGATAGATATGCATTGTATTAAAAAAAAATGTCAGCGTATATACTTGAGAATTAGAAAAATTTATGAAACTTTTAATTTTTTTTAAAGTGTAAAATTTGAAAGATATAGAATTACAGTGATGGCTTGAGGTTGAGGATGACGTAGACGTAGAGCAAATAGGGAAATGAAATTAGGGGAGGGGTCCTAAGGACAAAATAGATCCACATAGCGCCTGAATTGCCCAAACATGCTTATGTGATTTGGGAAGAGGGTCTCTCCACTTTTTTTTTTCTAATTTTCTCCATTTCTCTTATCTTTATCATTCATTAATTTTATTATTTAAAAAAATTATTTAATAAAATAATTTAAATGATAGGAATGGAAGAAGTGGAAAGAAGTGGAGTAAAAAAAAATGGAGAGACTCTCCCCCTGTGATTCTGTTCACCTCAATGGAGGCCACCCCCCGCGACTGCGACTGCCACACAAACTTCAACCCACATGTCTGTATGCATCATCATCATCATCATCATCATCATCATCATGTGTTAAATATCAGCATGCAATATAAAATATTTTATTTACATCCCTTTTAATTTAATAAAAATAGTTTAAATATAAGGGGAAAATGTCATAAAAAATAATAATGGAAAAAATGTATGTATGTTAAAGAATAATAATTTCATTACTTTAATTTACAGTTTTTAATCAGTGAAATGACTTGATATTTCCATAATTTTTTATTCCAACCTCCACTTTAGACACTTCCTCATTTTAATGTCACGGGACTATTAATTTCTTTCTTAAATGCTAACTCAGTAGAGTATGCAGAACACCTGTTTATATAGTTAGGACCTTCTCAAAGTCTTGCAATGTGAGAAGTAACAATTTTCTTGGCTAAAATGTGATGCACCTTTCATGTGTGGCTCATCGGAAGGCCAACTGGCTAGGCAAAACTTAAGTTTAGCTCAGATACTATTTTGTTATGATATCATTATTCATTTTAAAAAACTAACTGAATAGGGTGTGCAATATATCTATTTATACGGCCAAAATTTCCTAAAAGTCTTTCCGATGAGCAACGTAACATTAAAATCTAATTTCCCCTTAAAAGTCCAAAGCTGAAACTCTATTTATTATTATTATTTCTGGCGAATAATGCGGGCAAGGGGTTGAGAGGGGTAAATTATTACTATTGTGAAGTTGAGAAGTAGGGTCTTGAGTTTAGACATGCAGTAGGAAACCAATACTTGGGTAGGGTTGCTTTCACTGGTTGTGAGATTCCAACTGCTCTTTTTCCCAAACACCTTCCATTCTCACCATAATCATAGCCCTGTGGTGGTCCGTCTGTTTATGTGCCTCCTCTCTATGAATTTAAAATCATACTAACTCATTGCTCCCGAGAAAGTCGTCCCCCAAATATTTAGGTTCCGTTTAAAATTATTTTTATTTTATTCTCATGAAAACTGATATTTTGTAGAACATATTTTTAAAATAAAAAAATAATAAAAAAATATATTTTTTATTCTTTTTTATTTTTTAGAATAATAATTACAGAACATCTAAAAGTTGTTTTCATTTTTCTGTTCTTCAGAATAATATTTTATTTTTTTATTCTCCAAAACACTTTTTGAAAACACATTATCAAATAAATTTTTTTATTCTTTTGTTCTAGAAAATAAAAAATTATTTTCAGAATAGATGTGCAAACAAGCTCTTAGTATCCATTTCCCAATTTCTCAAAGCCAGATTATCCAAAGTAGTTGCACTATCCATATATCCATTTGCAAATTTAGGATACCATAGCATAGAAAATTCCTGCAATCATGAATCATTCAGTAAAGTGTGATAAAGAATTCGAATGAACTTGAGACCAACTATTTGTGGTATCATTTGGGAGCCGCAATTCCTAGAACGGACATCAGATTACTTTTGTTATCATATATATTCTTTACTTCTCAAAAGACGTAGAGATTTCTACTAAGAGGCTGTCTTTTGACTTGCATTTCTTCGGCATTAGGCAACACACCGCACCATCATTTTGTAAAGACTTCAACTAGTTTATTTCTACACGCGCACATGCGCATACATATTCAGTTCTCTTTATTGTTCATGATAAATTAATTCATCTGAACTAACAAACGAGAATATATAAATTAATTTAAGCTCACACTTTCAGATATGGATTTAACTATGTAGCCATACATAATCACTATACCACCAAGGCTGCTAGAATAATTATCATTATCCACGTCTCTGCATCGCATCCAAAGAGAACAGTCTGACCTTAATAGCCATCAGCGTAGCCATGTGCTTGGGAAGAAAAGTTTAAAGCGAGACAAAATGAAGAGAGAGTAAAGTTTCAATACACTGGCAATAAGCCTTTTCTTCATATACACTATACATCATAATGCAGACACTTGAGAAAAGGAAAACGTTCCTTCCCAAGGTGAAATGGTGTATCATAGCATATAGGGTAAGTACAGCAATACTTATAGGAAAAGAATTGTGATGACCAAAGTGTTTAGCTGTCTAAACGACAGTAAACCTGTGAGGTATCTGTGTGATTCTATTGTGTGTCCCACTGATCCCACCAGGCGCATGTACTTGATGTCCTGCAAGAATAAGAGGCAACTTCAAGTAGAGGTTGCTTCAAAGGTCCGTTGTAAACTTGTAATTGACTCTTACAATCTCAAGCATCCTCATTTAAATCACCACCGTTTTGCAGACAAAGATATAAGCTGCAAGAAGAAAATTAATAACTTCAGACAAAAAGCATGATATTTAGTATAATGCAATGTGGCTACCAGGGTGCCTGGAAGACAGAATTATATAGTAATGAACTCAATTCACGGAAAAAAAATGATCTCTTGAAAGTGAAACAACAATATAAACAATCAGAATGGCAGGACAACTTTTACAATTTTTTGGCATGTGTGCCATTTCAGAATGCATCTTTTTTTTTTTTTTGGTGAACATTTCAAAATGCATCTTAATGTCTGACAGCAAAAAATTTCAACAAAGCAAGTGTTAACCCCAGGCATTGATTAATCACATTAATGTTGCAGATTGTTTGAACTATATTTATCAAGTCAGAGGACTCATCAACACACATTCATATCGAAGCTTGAGCTCAGTGCTCACAATCTAAAATCTAAAATATGAAATCAGGTTATTTAAGAGACAATAGGACGATTTGACACAGACCTGGCGAGCAACCTGAGCAAGGCGCCGACTATCTCTTGCAGATTCATCCATCAAGCTAGATTTCTGTGGTTCACAAGCACCATTTTGTTTCTTGTCCACCCTCCTCTTCACCGTGCTCTTCTCAGAATTTGTTTTTTCTTCAGGGTTGTCCAAGGATTCCTTTTTTCTTTTCCTACAGAAGGTGTACTTGAGAAGCTTTTTGTCATCTGCTTGACCAGAAGATTCATTATTTTCTTCACATGCTTTTGTATCTTCCAAATCAGTACTTGCACATGAAACATCAATAACCTCAGCTTCCATGTTACCAATTTGATTAGCTAATTTCATTTCATCGCCCCCAGCCAAAGTCTCCAAAATGCATGCATCTAATGACTCTTTATCCATCTCTGCAGTCTCCTGCATGAATCCAAACTTACTACTTACCCTGATATTCAGTTTATCACTGCTGGACCCATGCACAGGTTCCATGTCAGTCAAATGGGGCACTGGCTTCTTCTCATCTTCATCTTCACAACATTTGTCATTATTCAAGACAGATGAGCAGTGCATAAGAGTAAATGATGGTTTACAACACTCATGAACAGGAGATTTCATTCTTACAGGCCTACTTCTTTTTGTTCTTCTTGACTTGTTAACGGTACAAGACTTGATAGAAGGTAGAGAGCAAGCAACTTTATCAGATTTGTAGTCTTCATCGATGTGTCTTTTACAGCAAGGGGTAAAGCACGACCTGAGATAGGAAAAAGTCTTTCCCTTTTGTATTCCATGCCGCTCAACATGCTTCTTTATTTTCATTTTCTTGGTACTGGAAGACAGTGTACTAAATTTTGCAACTTCCTTGTCACTGTCTTTGATGACAAACCCACCATTCACACCAAAATGTCCATTTTGTTCATCTTGAGTGAGCAGCTTATCATTCAGCAATTTTCCTTCCAATGCACGAATTCTCTGAGTACATCCATTTTTGTACAGCTCAGGTTCCTTGCCTCTCATAATGAGGGAAGCAAGGTTAGAATTATAAGCACAATAGTCCTCCAAATTAGAGATGCAGCAAGGCTCAGTCTGTTTCATTGCATTACAGTACTCATCATCTAGAACATTCTGATTCAAGGGCACATTCTTCACATCACAAGGCGTTACAAATTCACATTCTAGGATGGGAATGGGTAATGTCAAGTCTTGTTTAGCACTCTCCTCAACAGATGCCGCTTGCTTTTGAATTTGTTCTTCCAATAACTGATTCTGAGTATTCATTGTTTTCTCTAACTCAACAGATGCCACTTGCTTTTCAATTTGTTCTTCCAATAACTGATTCTGAGTATTCTTTGTTTTCTCTAACTCAAGCCAAACCTGTTTCAACTCTGCCCTAAGATCTGTTATAACATCCTCCGCCTCATTGAGTTGTGCTTCAAGCTCTTCTATTTTTCTTTGGTTATTCAAGGATGTCATCTCTGCTTCTGCTGTCTGTAAAAGAAGAAATACATGAAACCACGTTCCAAAAGTACATCATAAACAATTCAAAGAAGGATGTGCCAGTAAACTAGAGTTGTCTTTCAAAACAAATAGCCAAGTATTCTATAAAATCATTAAGATGTAATACTATATGCTTTAAAAGTTTAAGCACAGAAACATAAGCAATTTCAGGCTTTTGGCTATGCATTAATTAGTAGAATTTCCTTCTCAAGGCAAATTGTTTCACGAATATATTAATGTGGTCTCATGAAGATACACAAATCAAAAGAAGAGAAGCCTAAGCTTCATGAAAATATTACCCGAAGCATATTACCATTCAATCTCAAGTCAAGTAGAAGCTGAGTGTCAACTCAAGTTATAGGCCTTTTAAACCACCCTTAAAGAAGCTATGGTTCGTCCGAGTCACAACCAACTTAATTGTGATCTTATTTTCATATCACTTTCAAATAAATAAATAAAGAAACAGGCACCTTAAAGATCCCCACAAACATGGAGGTTGCAAAAGATGGGGTTCCTCTGAAGCAAAAAATAATCTTCAGATTTGAAGTAAACATATTACTAGCTCAATTTCTATAGGAAAGTTATTAATCACAATGGTGGGAAACAATAAGTGCAAGCAAAAGTATTCTGGAAACAATACTCAACCATTTATTCAGGAAAAAATAACCCCTGCTTATCATCATGTGTTAATGAGTAAAGGCTGTGTAAGTTTAAACCCAACAAATATATGGGAAGAAGGTCTTCATAGAAGATGCCAACTATCATATCAAGCCAAACAAACGGGAATTTGTTTTTTCCCTTTGTAGCCACCACAGATGAGAGGTTGACAGGGTTGTAAAGTTCACAACTAAAATGCAATAACAAACAATTTAATGGTTTAAATAATCTCCTATAACATTCAACATGGTAGGAACATCTTGTTGAAATTGAATGCCTTTTGCTCTATAATTTTACGTCCATCCACTAAAGACATCAACTTCACAGTTTGTTCCTTCTATTTACAATTTCACAAAATAGTGTTTTTTTGTGCATATATAGATACTAAATGAATGAATTAGAAATCCCTCATGTATATTTTCAAAGTGATAAACTTTCAGAACAAGAAACAATTGATATCATACCATTCATATAGTCCTAACTTAAGATGCATATAGTAACTGTCAGATTAAATTTTTAAGCTTGTTCTCATCTAAACTCCTCATTTTGAATAATGGGAAAACTTACAATGATGACAAAATTTTGGACTGGTCCCAAGTCAAGCGATAGTGGTTGAGTTTTTGAGGATACGAAATGATTGTATAGCCAATTAATTAACAAGTATAACAATGTATGTATGGAAGATGATCAGGTGAGAAGCTATGTCCTATAAATAGGAAGAACACAACAACAGGGGGAAGACTGAAAAGAGGTTACCATCATGGTGAAGCCAAGCTAGTTAAATGACAAATGTCCAAGTTCTACTTGTAAAATATTAACATCCTAAGGGGCTAAATGTTTAATTTAAGAATGCAAAACAGTTTGAGACACCTGATCAGCAAAAGTGCGAGGGGATAGCAGAGAGAAGGAAGTTAACACAAAAAACAATCAAGACAAGAAGTCCAGCTCTGTCAATCAGCCCAAAAGAAAATGATTCAACATATACAAGATAGTAATGAAGCTTAAAGTTGCAATGTTTTTATTTCATGCAGAATCCGGGCAATGACAGCAATTCCACGTGAACAGTGAAAAATTGATTTGATCGCATTAAATAGTTATGATTTTCCATCTGAAAGAAAATTGAAGAAGCAGGCAGTGGCAGAAACTCCGGGAAAATTTTACCAAATCAGTCTCTTGGTTGTTTAGAAAATTTAAATTGCCAACCAATAGATTCTAAATGATAAAATAGCACCAACTGATGAACAACAGGAATAAATTCAGAAAAGATCTCGAATTTCCTGACCAACCCAGATCAATCTTGTCATGCTGTGAATCAACATTAACAAAAATTGAGAATCCATACAATCGATAAAAAACCATAAGAAAAAGAGTTAAGGTGCGAACGAAACCTTGGCGTCGATCATCTGTTTCAAGCGGACTAGCATCCGAAGGGCCTCGTCTTTTGTCGAAGTAAGTTCCCGTTGAAACTGAACAGCTCTTCGTTCTGACGCCATTATCCTGGCCGCCGCCTCTTTTGCCGTGTTCAGGATAATGTTCGCGTAGGCCTTCTTCAAGGCCACCATTTTCTAGAACAAACACCATCCAGCACATAGACCCAAAAGCACATTAGACAAAAATCAATCAGACAGGGAAAAAGAACGGCATCACAGGACAAACGAACTACTCTTAACAATCCAAGGCATCAGAAAAATTCAAAATCGAGAGTTTGAATTCAGAACGAAGATCACAATAAAAAGCGAAAAATAAAAAACAAAAAAAAAATCGTGTTTCCAAGTGTCTGCCAGTCACATAGAAAGAGGAATCGGAGGCGTTGGTGATGGTGATGGAGGTGGTGGTAGACGGAAGCGAAAGGTAGTTAGGTTATCGTACTAGATTATCAGCTAAAAGATAAGTTTTTGGATGGACACCTGAGCTTGGTCATCCATGGGTATGAGCCAATGCGAGTGAAATTGAAGGAGGAATGGAGAGTTTGTGAGACGAGGGACGATTGGATTCCCAGCAGCCTCCGGGGCGGGTGCTTCTTGGTATGGTATGTGAATCAGCGTTGGTTGGAGAGGAATGAGGGAGTGTGTTCCCTCGCAGTTGGGATTTGACGCAACTAGCCTCATGAAAGCATTTGAATCACGGGCACGTCTCGATCAGCCGTTGGCATTTCCGTTGGTAGCTATGGACTTCAGTGAGCGAAACGACGTCGTGTGGGAGTGGGGCGACGAAAATTGTTGCTAATGGTGTGGACTGTGGACTGTGGACTGTGGACTGTGGACTGAATGATGACGGGTTCGGATCGCAAAGAGAAGGCGCGCGAGGAAGGAGAGGGTGGGGCCACGCAAGAGGCGCAAATCCACTTGGGTACCCATTTTTTCAACTTTAAATTTTGAAAAACGCTTCCTTCGCATCGCATCTTGTCTATTGATGCTGTTGTTGGGTACACATTTTGAACTTTATAATTTAATATTGGACGCTTGTGAATTATCAAGTAAATAGTGAAACCCTTCATTTGGAGGAGAAATGCTTAGATTTGGATCCGACATATACTACTTGGAATTTGGAAAGAAGAGTGTGCTTTGGTGAGACTGCCTATTCAATGTTAGTGGCGGGATCCAAAGTACGAAAGGTTGAAATAACAATGCTATTTTAGAAATAAGGTGTTACAAAAGATATAAATAAGCATATAAAATTGGTCCTGAAAGTAAAAATAAACGTAATTATAAATCCAGAATTGATATTTGGTGGGAAGATTGTAGGGAGGAGTATAGCAAGGCCCCTTTTGTGGCTTGTTTAATATGAAAAGAGAGGGGAAATATGTGTAGGCTGATATAGTTGGCTATTTATGAAATAATGCAAAGCTGGTAGTTTAAGAGCTTAGTATGAGAAGAACTGCTCTTCTCGTGATTGGAGCTGTTTCTAAGAAACATCCTGAAATGAATAGAGATGGCCATTGGCATGTGATAGTGTTTTTGAAGGTGTTTTATAATTTTAGATTTTGTCCCCCCCCCCATGCTTCCCTTTCTCTAACATCTCTTTCTCTATAACCTCGTTAGCAATCAAGCCACACTAATGCCAAAATCCTTCATCATTCTTGGTGGAGAATAAGTTCAATGGAATTGTATCTTCTCGCAAATATATATGTATAGCTCCTTTTCCATGCATGATCTAGAGGAAACGAAATCCAGAACCTATGTATTGACTTAATTTGCTTAACTAAACAGCATAGAAATGGCAAGAAATGCCTGGATGTATGTTGGACTACCTGAGCAAAAAGTTATAATAAGAAGTGTAACCTTCCCGAGGTTAAACCGCAATTAACTTCAAATCATAGTAATCTAGGATCTAACCCTTAAAGGATTACCAAGTTGTAAAAATTTATAAAAGGAATTCTTTAAAATTCTTTTAAAGAAATTCCAATCTCAACAATTCAAATTTTAAATATGATTTAATAAGCCCAAATCAGAGTTTTAAAAGTAAAGCAGAAGTTTGAAAATCAATTGGGATCCAAATAATAAGTTTTAAAACTCAAAAATAGACTTTGTGTAGAAAGTGACTCGTATGCCATGGCATGTCTTCTTTGTGCCATGCGCATTGCACGAAATTTGACAGCATGGGGAGCGAACTTCTGACGTGTCTTAAATCTCCGTCCAACGTCTGATTAAGGTGGTTTCAGTGTCTACATGGAGCTTTCTTCTTGCTCTAGCCAATGGCATCGTTTTCACATTCAAATTCATTTTTTATAAAAAGTTAGACAAAAAAATTCATTTTAACCACTTTTTCACAAAATCTCATAAATGGGGTGTCCAAACTCAAACACATGTGTCAATAGCTTACACCAACTATCCGACCACACTTAATCGATTCTTGCGAACTTGTGCAATGCACCACACACAATCAAAAACACTTATATCATAAAAATCACCACTCAATCCCGATTTTTACAAAACATAAAGGGGAAGAAAATATTGCACAATATCAATCATTTCAAATTTCTCAAAAATACATATGTTTCTACTTGCGCAAGTATTTTGACCCTATCCATGAACTAAAACTCACTAACCCAGGGCACAAAATACACTGGTTATATTTAAATTCATGCAACTAGTGTATTAAGCACGTCAAATAACCCTAATTAGCAATTACATTAACAAATACACATGAAATTAACAAAAGAGAGGCATATTGAGGATTACTCTACAATCCTAGGCCTCTGTATGTTTTCCCCGACTCGAATCCAATGAGCTAGGTCTTGAAAAATATTGAGAATTGAGGGGTGAGTACAACCACTCAGTAATCAAATTTTACTTAACCTATACAGTTATATATTAATTGTAAACAGATGCAATTAGGCAAATAAGTAAAAATAACTCATAACACTTGACCACGGTTCACAAAACTAACAACCATATGACTATGCTTGCCATGAAACACTTTAACATATTATTTTAGAAAACATAACACAAGGTCATAAAAAAAACAACCATGTGCCCTTAACACATGCCGGACCATAAAACTAACAACTATGTGGCTGGACTTATATGTATGATTCTACATCAATCTTATATCCTTCTGTTACCTCTGACATGAAATCGATAATTATCACGTGGCTACGTCCTTCATGGACTAACCCAGCCTTTCACTTGTAAGGAGCTACCAGGCCAGAGTTAACTCACTCACTTGTGTAATCCAGTTTCTCCCAATATTAACAATCATGGGGTGTTGTACCCCTAATCTAGCCTCCTCATAAACTAGTGGAGATTAGATAGATTCGAGTCTCTTATAGAATAAGTGAAACAGTCCCGAATCAACCATGAGACAAGGGCTACCTTCCGATTCCAACGGTCGATGCCAAGGTTAGTTCCTGATTCCAACGGTTATTTCCAATACCATGTGAATTTTTAACTAATCTACTCCTCTCCTTAGGCAAACTCTCGCCAATGATTATGTTATGCACATTTCTCACATAATATGCATTTTAAGAATCAATTCAACATACATGAACTCACATAACTCAATACTCTACAATTCAACACATAATATATCACAATTCTCTACCTATAATAATAAATCATAATTAATTTCATAAAACACTAAAGGTGGCAAAATCAATGTTTTCTCTCCAAAAACTATTTCACAAAGCAACACTTTGCCAATATGCATCATCAATTTAACTCATAAATCACATTTCACAAACATAATTAACATTCAACTATAAAGATTAAGTTTTTCTTGGTTATCTCAAACCTTTGAGAGGTCAAAGGTTTATCTTTCACTATACCAACTTCCCAAAGCTTCAACAAGCTCGAACGGTGCCAAAAACGAACCTCATTACATCCATACCACAAGAAGATCATCATTATCTAACTCTTGAAGTTTTATCAACATATAACTCTACACATTCTATTTTTTATTAACTCATAATCACTACCCATTCATACTCAATGGGCTCATTAAATTCCATTAATGCTTATTGTCATTAATAATACTTCAAACCATCATTGATGTATATAAACCTCTCCCAACTACTTGATAAATATCAATTTTCAGATAATAAATGCTCCCATGAATCAACCACTTTTAAAATCATCAATGTGGTGTTCCAATACATTAAACAACTTCCATTATACTTGTTTTAACTAATAGAATCAGACCCATACTCTCATGGACTGAAAATCCATCTCTCAACTCAAACCTTATCATAAATCATCATAAATGAGAGAGGGAAAGGAAGAATAAGACTTAGATTACTTACCTTGAGTGTTTGGGAGCTTCAAAATATCAACAATAAAAGCCAATGAGCGTGCCTTAGTAGAACTCTAATGTTCTCTTCATTCTTTTCCTCTTCTCTCTTCTGTTTTCTTACACAGACACGATCTGATTTATTAAAAATTTTGCCCTCGGTGACGCATGGCATAGAAGAGCTTGTTATTTAAATTTGTCTCTGTGTGTTGTGACGGACCAACCACATGCCATGGCGTATGGCACAAAGAACAATTCTTCATTATTTCTTCCTCTTTCTTTGCCCAGGTGGCCCACCATCAATCCAGGCTCACTTTTAGGGTTGAAATCACAATAATTATGCCAAGTTAAGCCATTCTGGCCACATACTTCATTAACTCACTAATTATCCTCATTAGGTTAATAAATCAGGGTTAAATTTTTCTGAATGTTATAAGAAGAGATCAAAAAGAGATTAACTTTAGTTTTAAGATGACTCTCTAGTCATATATAAAATGTTTTATTAGTGATAAATGACATAATTACCTCTTATGAGTCATCTCAAATCAAATCATTGAGATGATGAATTCAAAATTGGTTCATGAGTTGGAGTCTTTTTAGAAATAATCATAATAATTTCAAATAATAGAGATCGCTCAGAGCATGACTCATAAGGAGCTCAATAAAAGCAAGGAGGCATGCTAAATATGATGAACTATGAGGAAGACATGCTAAAGGCCTAATGAATCCAAAGAGGCGTGTCTTACAAAGCTAAAATCCCAAAGCTCAAGTTTCAAGTTCTTAAGGATCCAATATAAGGCATTAAAGGCCCAATGACTAAAGTCTAAACCAAAGTTATGAAGGAGGCCTTGACTTGTCTTGCTAAAGAGATCTAAGAACAAGAGTTTATGTTTATTAATAGGGCCCATACTTGCAAGGGCCTTTCATTAAATGAGTTTGAAAAAATTCATGCTAGTTGAAGAAGATCCAAGCGCACGAGTCTATAGTCCAAATCCCTCTTATTTTCCATGTGATAAATGTATTCCTAAGGCCAAGAAGAAAGGGAGCTTGATTATAAGAGGTCCAATAGAGAGCCCATGCTTGTTTAATAAGATCTAAGTCTAGATCCATGAAAATTCAAGCCCAATTGATAAAGACCTAAGCCTATTTAATTCACCATGTATTAAATATGCTTGGAATATTTTAGACAAGAAGCGCATACCATTATGAGTTGATTTGAAGGGATGAAAGGCTTGATTCCTATCATTTTCAACATTCATTATGAAGTTGAATTAGTTTCTTATTTCAGTTTAAGTTTGAATTTCAAGACTAGTAAGTTTCTATCTTCATTTTCATCTTTAATGTTGATTTTCTTTCATTATTTAGGCTTTTATTAGTTAATTTGACTTATTGATTAAGACTTTAGTTTTTAAGAAAATTTTTAAATTCTTTCATTCGGCCTTTATTGCTAGATCTCAA